AGGCCCGAGTCCTTTAGTTCCGCCTGAAAACACAGGCATTCAGTTGCCAAGATAAGTCCAGAATTAATGACGTATTGCTCTCGGGGCAACTCAGCCTCCTGAAGACATGCAACGGCTTTTTTGGTAGCCTCTGCAGGAGTTGCATAATTTACACTGTGTTAAATACCTATTTTTTAAAAACTGAATTAAAAACCTAGTTGTCGAACCGGATACTCAAAAATAATCAGCCGTGTTTTAAGATCTGCTTTATTATATATAATTCACAATGTGGTCTAATCAGAAACTAATTATTAAGTCTCATTATACCACCCACTATGGCTTTCAGATGTAGATTACAGGGAGGGAACAGCTTTTAAAATGCCTTCACATCCTTCCTGGGACTGGCAGCCACGGCCACAGGGAGACACACGGAACACCCTCGGTCCTTCTCCCTGGGTGGCTATCAGTTAAGGGCAGTCAGTGCCCATTAGCCTCCTGAAGACTCTCTGGGCCACTTTCCAGCCGGTCCTCTTTCAAAGAGATTTCCCCATCTAGGTTTCGACTCTTCCCTCGCCCCCCACTTTTATTCTACCAACTGCCAGGAGGGGAAGAAGTCCTGACAGTGCGGCAGGAAACACACCGGCATCCCTGCAATCCACACACACGGCTGCCTTTCACTGGCTTGGAGGGTCCAGAACGGCTCTTCTGGCAATTCTGAAATGTTTCTGAAGTGTGACTGAGCAGGTAAGCAGTGTGACAAACCATTTTGAAAAGCTAAACTCTAACTGCCAGAGCTTCTGCTGACTAACTGATGTAGAAGACAACTGGGGCATGCCTTTATAATCAGAAACGGCATACGACTGTTAGTATGGAAAGTAATACAATTAACAGTAATACAGGAATAAACTGTTATATGCACTCAGAACTGTAAACCTACTATTGCCCCACCATGTGTAAGATAATATAAAAGTCACCACAAGGTCTGGATCAACTTTTTCACTTGACCTGACCCCTTGCGCCCCAAGGTTCAGACACTGGCTGAGTCTTCTGAGACATGTCAAGCACTGGAAGGGCCAGATGCTCTGGCAAAGCCTCTTACAGGCCTAATTTTTAACTATCATACATAGGTAGACACAAAAGCTTAAGTCTTTGGAGGCATCTGGATTAAATGAAGAAGGAATTCGGCCTTGCCATAGGATAAAAATGACATCACAATTTTCAAAGGTGGTGTTTCAATTTGTTAAAACGACAACTCACCAGATGAGAGGAAGCAAACTGGAAAACTAAAGGAATCCACATAAAAACTGTTTTTCATGGACCATTAGAATAGGTAGTCACACCAATGCCACAACACACACAAAGCCCCCCAAACACAAACAAACCAAAACACGTACACACACACACACACACACACACACACACGCATGTGCAGTGTTACTGAGAAGCAAGACATTTACATACACAGAAACACAGTTCTGCCAGAAGCAAAATCTTCCTCAGGTGTAAGTCGCTCTCCCTATTTACTGTGCACAGAGTCACTTAGTCACCTGTAGAACACAAGTAACGAAATATATTCATGTGATCAGCTTTTTCAAATTCTTTTTATCAGAAGGAAAACGAGTACACAACTAAGGCCTGCATCTCTGTGACTGCAGTTTCTAAAAAATTAGAAGGATGCGTCATACCTCAGGCTAACAAACAGGTCTGTATCCTTACACCACGTGCACAATATGAACACACCCCTGGCAACCCACGGTCCCCTGCTACTGAAGACTTTCTAAACTGTGTGGCCTCTGCTTTAGGGCCAGCCCAAATCAAGCACTCACTGAACACACGTAACACAGGAGTATCCAACAACGCCCAGAGACCAGAACCAGGGAACCCCTAGATACTCGTCAGAGAAAAGGAGTAAGCGTGTCGTAAATAGGGTATGACAGATACTGATCTCATCAGCACCAGGAGATGATGAAAGGTGTTCGCGCTGACAGTGTAAGAGCTACCATGTACTGTGTGCCTGCTCTCTGCTGGGAGTGTAGTGTTCATTCATTACTTCACTTAGTCCTCACACCAACCTTCTGAGGTCATTACTACTGTCATTCCCATTTTAGAGTTCTAAAGACAAAGGCTCAGAGTTTGGATTAAGTTATTTAAGTCACAGCTTGTGACAGACTCCTGATGGATTTTTAATGGATTTCCTTAACGCCACTGTCACCTGCAGATTCTCTGACCACTGGAAACATGACTTGCGTTAATTGGAGGTATCAAATTCTGGCAAATAGCACGATTACAGAGAACCGTATCATGACTGCCATGATATGACACAGCATAAAAGGTGCAGACTGGTGATCTGGAATCACCAGCTTACCCCAAGTCTGCTACGCACCTGTGCCTCGCACACCTCTGTGACTAACACCCGACCAGGTGCTACAGAAACGTCGGATGTCCCGCTGTACCTTCTGCAACTATCATCCGTGTTTCTCTAGCCAAGTTTCTCATCTATAAAACGAGCAATTGTATTTACCCCACAGGAAGGCTGTGAAGATTAAATATGACTTTGTACAGTGGCTGGCACCAGGGAAAAGTTTCTTTCCCCCTTTCCAGTCTGGTGCAGACAAGCAGTAAATACTGCAGTAATTCAGAAGGAAAACACCACTGCGGGATACGTAAGAAAAAGCGTCCAAGAGATCGTGAAGTTTGCACTTGGCTATGAATATATTTCACAATCTGTGCCAGGAAGGCGAGTTCTGCTGGGGGCCAGGGGAGCCCCCCAAAGTGGCCGTGAACTACCAGGCGGCACTCACACACACACACACACACACACACACACACATACACGTTCTTACACAGCCCTGGTCAGTGGGGCTACGATGAACCATCTTCTTCCTTTTTGCTTTAATTTCCATATATTTCTTCCCTACTCTTATATTTCAGAAGTACAGAAACCTCCTACTCTCATCCTTCCCAGTGCTACCTTCAATGCCATGATGAGTACATTTATCGACAAACAGGGCTCAGTGAACACGGACAAGATCAAATTAGTCGACAGGCTGCTATTTTTCTACGTTGTATTATCAGCTAGTCATCCTTCCTACTCTTTCTTTCCTTTGCAGGAGTAGACAGATGGTTTAATTAGTTTACCCTGATTACCCTAGTTATTTCTGATCATGGTAATTCACTGAAATTCAGTTAAGCAGTAACTCAATTTATAAGAGTAGCTACATCCACCATTCTCTGGCTAACTATCAATAGGCAAATGGGTAGAAGGGTCTCACTACCAGCCAGAACTCTCCTAGAGAAATAATAAACTATTGCTTAACACACACACACACACACACACACACACACACAATGGTGGGGGTGGGAGACGCCTATAGTGCATCCCGAAACAATGTAAAATTCACGTATTTCTAAAACTGAAACCTGTTCTAGAATTTTAAATCATCACTAATTGATAATAGGAGACTAATCAGTGTTAGTTAAAAGGTAAAAATCATAAATAAAGGAATCAAAATCAAACTCCAAGTTCCTAAAAGGCCGTAAACCATGTAAAAGTCATATTGTCAAACTGCTTCTGCTGTCTGTTATGAAAATTGGTGAGGAGTTCCCTGACTCCAAGCATAATAGCCCACCGTGTTATGTAGCATTGCCTTTGAAGTTTACACTTGAAAAACTGATCATCTGAAGAAAATTCAGTATTTAACCCACCTCCTGAGTCTCAACTGCATGTCCCTCACTCCCTGTGAAAGTAACGTCAGCCAGAGAGTTACTACTTATTGGAGCAAGACGGCCTTTCAGAAGGTATGTCAGCCTTAGAGGTTGCCACCTGTCTGCTGCGCCCCAGCACGGCACTCCCTTTCAGAAGGCCACTGTTAAACCTCTTAAAAGAAAGGCTTCTCCTGTGACTCAGAGCGAGTTCTAAAGTCCACAGCTAGACATCTGGGTGGGGGTAGGGGTTTTTTAGAAAGATCCATTATGGTAATTTTAGATCACGCACACTGAATTTGTTCCTTGATTTGTAAATGACATGTAGCACTCACTGGGTATTAAATTAAAAGTCTTCAGTCATGGCCATTAACCTGGGAGAACCTCGAACTCTACCCCCCAGAGAACAAAGGTGAAAATAAGATAATTATGAATCATTTTCTTATAGAAAAAAATCAGATTCGTTCTTCATTTTAATTGACATGCAAGACAGTCCACAAAACAGTCTGACGCCCATGAACAGCCGCGCTGTGGGCTACTTGGGCTGTTACGGTAATCCTCTGCCTGCGAGTGGCAACCAGATAGGGTCTGTCAATGACCTGGGACCAGCTTCAACGTAAAGAGACTCGTCATCAAGTAAAATTCTGTTGGGGAAAATCTGCTCTGGGCAGGTTTAAGTTTTATGCTCCTTTTCTCCTATCAAAATAGCTGTAATAACTCACCAGCAACACATTAAGCCTTCTGTATGGGTTTTCATTTAGTTTAGCCAATGTCTTTAAAATGCATTATATTTCTACAGTAATTTCAATGATTACCTTGACACTACTTTCTTACTTCCCTAAATAAAGTAAGGATGTGCTCTTTATTAGAAACTTCTTGCCATCAAAATTGTACTCCAGTGTTCTGCTATCCAAAATATAACTATTAAAAAGTCAGGAACATAAGCCTGGGTGAAGGGAGCGTGTTCAGTTTTTACTAAGACAAAATTTAGACTATAAACCTTCACTGAACATGGATTTTTGTACTGCTTCAAGTCTCAAAAGAGAACAGTCCAATCCCCACAGACTAAATCACTTATCTCTTTTAAAAGTTATCAGAACAGCATTACGCTGGAAGTGACAGTTTGGCTACCTGCTGTTTGTTGATGCAGCACAGACCTGCTGGCCAACTGCAACTGGCTGGAAGTCCTTATCGCAAATAAAACTGTTTGTGTGCCACTGCTATGTTTCACTTAAACGCCACTAGCTCTTCCAGGCTCAAGACCTGTCAACTACTCTGTTGCCAAGACTCTGCCCGTCAGAAAGGTCAGCATCCAGTACCTTCCAGTTGGGTCCCAAAGGGCCTCTCTTGGTCTTGACTGACTGGAATAGTGCTGGGTCTTCATCAGCTTTGTAGTCCTGCAAAGCAAAACAAAGTCAGAGGTAAAGGAAAGAAAAAAACAGAGAAAATTCTTTAACCTTGCCAGAACAGTGTTTTGCAGCTAGTAGGACACATGACAGAAACTTACTAGGCTTATTCTGATTTTGCATAAAATAAAAGCAGAACTTTTTATGCAAAAGTTTTATGCATGACTTAATGTCATGTAGAATGCTTCTATATGACATTAAGTTTTCACTTTGGTTCTCTGTTTTAAACTTTTACCTTAAGGCAAAACGACTATACAATAAAAAGTAGTGAGAGTCTTGACTAGCTGCCCACTGGTTACTGGATAGCTATCTCTAAGAACAAATCCTCTAACATTTTCCAACAGTTTCAGGATTTTGATATATGTATAATCACACTCAAGAAATAGAAGACGCCCATCCTGGTTTTGCCAGCCCCCACAGATGATAACACTGGATGCAGCTCCCCGCCATAGAGCAACTACTGCCACCAGGGACAGGGACCAGAACCACTGACTCCACAGCACTTCCCGCCTCTTCCACGGCCGGGTCTGTGCAGGTACGTCAACCAGGGAGCCACCTGCTCTGAACCCTTGTCCAGAGAGCCACGGGGTCCACGTACCTCAGCTTCCTCGTGGAAGAGGCAGCCTTTGTACTCACGGCAGAATTTCACTGAGAAAGGAGACAAGGGAGGAGTTTACAACTCCTTACGGGACCACCTCAGTTATACATCCAGTCACAGGGGAACCACCCTAAAATTCACGTTTTATGCAAGGTTTCCATCTCCCTTAAATACTCTTCCTGATAGAACCGGAAATGAGTGAAGTAAATCTTTTTAAACCTGTCTGCTTCACAAAAGTGCTGTTGTCTTCACACACACACATGCATGCGTGCACACACACAATGCACAGGAAGAAATAAAAAGTTCCCTCTGAAGAGCTACAGTTCAGGGTGAAATGAGTTGCCACAGTAACAACAGACAGAGATCAGCTGGTCAGTTGGAAATCCTACACAGAGGGAGCCTGGCCCTTCTCAGGCAGAATTTTGAGACCAGAGGCCCTTCACAGCACTCAGAGGGACCATACACTTCGGGGAAGTGCCCAGACAAGTCAATATTAAAAAAAATCATTGTTCCAGAGCAAAAGTTTTCCAACCTTTTTCATTTCATGACTCACGAAAATTGCTAAAATTCTGGAGCACACAAAAATTTCATTTTTTGCCAATCTGACAAAAACAAAAAAAGGTTAATTTTGATTCATTCATACCACTAGCACTGTTGACTGTTGTGATTTTTTTAATTTGACAATCTAAGGGAAAAGAGGTCAGTGTCCCTGACTAAATAGTCAGGTACTGCACGCTTTAAGAATTCTTGCACCCTGGTTGGAAATGGCTGTTCTACAGACAAGCACCGAGTATATGATCAAGTATAAAACAAATTTTCACAAATGAGTGAAAACATGTGGAGAAGCAGCCAATCAAGACTCAACAGCTACTCAGTAAATGCATATGACACATAAATAATCCCTAAAGAGAAAGTTACAAATAAAGTATGTGAGGAAGAAAAAAAATGTGAGGTTTGGGTGAAAAACAAAAACAGAACTTTAAAGATACGGGGTAAGTATATGACCTTGAACTAGAAGCCTCTGTAAAGGTTGTCTACGAAGCTATAAAAAGGCCCAACAATGGGCTAAAATTAGTACACATGTGAACTCAGCAGGCCACACAGGGTCTCTTTAAAACATGCAACTTGGCGCAGCCACAGGCATCAGCTCAGTCGGACTGTCCAGGCTCGGACAGGGAGGGTTACTTCGTGTATCCATCACGAAGTAATGGACCAATCAGCAGACAGTTCACTTGCTGTTAGCTGAAATTATTCTGAAACTCTGAAACTCTTATTCTTATTCTGAAACTCTTATTTCAACCACACCCTGAAATTAACAACTTCACTGCTGACAGAAAAGAATCCACTGCCCAGGGGTGGTCTCTCAAGACCTGGATTCACAGTGAGAAATTGGCCATCATGCTAAAAAAGAATCATGAAACTCCAAAAACATTTTCTTGTAGGTAAAAGGCTTAGAATTAAAGCCCAAAGAACAGCTCAGTTTTCTCCAAAGAAAAAGACAACATTTAATATGATTATTAAATAATCTCTTTTGATATCATCTCCCTCAATCAAGGTCTATTTATTCATCAGCCACCATGTAGAAGAAGGGAGTGCACAGGATGCTAAGACGTACTCTAAGGGGTAGGGAGAACCAACACCTGGTTCTTGCTTTTAGGAAGCCACAGTCCAGCCGAGAGAAAGACAGAGGCAAAGAAAGAAAAGGTACTTGGAGGCCCAGGGAGTACTCGTCAATTGCTAACAGAATGGAAAGAAGAATGAGTCAGGATTAAAACCAACCAATACCAGCCAAGGATATCTATTTTTAAAATGAGTTTTAACATTATGCTTCAAAGTAGGAAAATCTTATTGCTAAGTTGCATTGCATTAAAATTATTTACAATTACATCTTAATTATCTCTACAATGCCCAGAGGCCTGGCTAGTAGTTTTCATCCCATCTGAGGGAAAATACTTTTTTCTTTTTCACTAACTGGGTTGTAATACTTTTTTCACTCATTGTATGATGCTCACATTTTTTGGGGGGGGATTCGAAATCTAAAATGTTATAGAGCCTCATATGAGTTAAACAGTAAATACCGCATTTCCTCAATCTAAGAAAGGATGCTTCATTATTTTATATACCATTAAGAAGGAAAACATTTCAGCCAATAAAATATGCCTTAACTGAGAGACAAACCCTGATTTTGAATATGATAAAATGAGAGGAAAATCAAGGGAACAGGAATCTTAGAATGTATGAAATAGAGACTGCAGAACTACCTCTGTGCATTATAAATTTGCCCACGCCAAGAGAGAAAGAAAAAATTCACAACACAAAGTGTACATAGTTATCAGGAGGGCTAAAGGATGAAGATCACTGATGGAATACACTAAGGACACTACATAAACCAAGAAACAACTTGGTCTCAATTGTGGCCAGCGTAAATTATTCTCATATAAGGGCAAATTAATTAAGGGGGTGACTCATCCCAGGAAATGGACCTACGTATGATTATGGCACCAGTTAAGGTAAAAACACAAGTGGATGGATTACAGGAACTTCTCTGACAATACCCCTTCTCCTTTCTAAACCCAGCTCCATGTCAACTTCAGATTTTCAGTATCTACTTGACACAGATTAATTAACCAAAGACCATGGAATAGCGCTTTAAGACTTCTCCACTCTGGGACTTCTGGGCAAGATGGAGGTGTAGGTAGACGTGCTTCGCCTCCTCGCACAACCACAAAAAGAATCACAACTAAATCTCAAGACATAACACCCAGAACTGTCAGGAAATCAAACTGTATGGAAGTACAACCACCAAGGACTTCAAGAAGCCGCACTCATCCAGACAGGCAGGAGGGGGCGGAGACATGGGGAGGCGTGGCACGGACAGGTGGTCCCACATTCAAGTGTAGTGGATAAAAATCAGGCGGAATACCTTGGGAGCGAGTGACCCCAGTCCCAGGCCAGTTCCAGCACTGGGAAGATAAATCCCCATTTCTGGCTATAAAAACCAGTGGGGATTGGAATGGCAGAAGAAACTGTGGGGTTTTCAAGAAACTTTGCTTCAAGGACCCACACAGTCTTAAAACATAAGCAAGCCCACGCACTCTAGGACTTACCACCAGAGCTACCTGGAAGGGTGCCAGTCGCATATGGGGAATGAGTGAAGTGACTGGAAATGGGGCAAGTGCCCAGCAAACTCGTAGAAGCCAGGCAGCGGCACAGTGCCCTCTGAGCCTTCCTCCACACAGAGCCACGAAGTAGCAAAGCAGGATGCCCCACCCTGGGCATCACCGAAGGCTCTGCCCCACACAATTCTCTAAGAGAATCATAGGTATGGAGATCATTTGGAGGGTTATCAGCTGGGAGGGAGAAGGGGGCAAGGGGGGAAGCTGCAGTGATTAAAAAGCATAATTGGTAAGCACAGAATAGATAGAGGGGTGTTAAGAATGCTAAAGGAAATGGAGAAGCCAAAGAACTTATGTGCACGATCCAAGGACACGAAGTAAGGAGGGGAGGAATGCTGGAAGGAAGAGGGGTACTGGGCGGGGGGGACAAAGAGAGGAAAATTAGGACAACTGTAATAACAATCAATAGAGTATACCAGAAAAAAAAGAAAAGAAAAAGAAAAAACTGTAAATAGGCCCTGGCTGGGTAGCTCGGTTGGTCAGAGAGTCATCCCCACGTACCAAAGTTGCAGGTTCAATCCCCAGTCAGGGCACACGCAAGAATCAACCAATAAATGCACAAGCAAGTGGAACAACAAATTGATGTTTCTCTCTCTCTCAAACCAATAAATAAAATGTTTTTAAGGGAAAAAAAGACCCAATCTCTGCACTCTGGACCTAACACACTGTTCCACAAAGTACATGGCTGAAGTCTCAGCCTTCACTGTTAGTGCCACCTGTGCACTGGATGCCTTTCTGAACCACGGATTCACAGAACTGGGGAGCCGAACCAAACCCTGAAGGCCATCCAAGCCGCCTCATTTTACAGACAAGGATGCCACAGTCCAATGAGATGACAGGGTTCACCTAGGACCTCATCACAAGGCTTCTTGGCCTCTGTCCTGGGCTCATTCTGGTACACTACACAGCAGAGGGAGCAGAAGGGTGTTTATGTATACCAGAGAAGCAAAAACACATTCCGAAATCACCAAAAAGCAGCAGCATCAGACACCAAAGTGGATTTTACTATAAGAATTGAGTGTATGCATGTAAAATGTATAAAACATACATGTACACACAACTCTAAAGCTAATTCTTCTCCCCGCTCAGCTTTTTTTTCTCTTGAATATAAAGCAGCAAACATTAAAGATATACTGAAAATGTAACAAAACCCAATTATTAACAATAGCACCTTAATCCTGACATATGAGAATAATGCATCTTGTCGAAACCTAGGA